ACTTTCTTCGCCCTCTCCCCCTTTCTAACTTCCTTTTCTCTGTCTTAATTTCCCTCAATTCGTTTTTTTTTTTTTACATGGCCAATTAGCCTGGTCAGCTTTTAACAACCAAATGAAACGGATCTCACTTCCTTTCTTTTTAACCCTCTCTCGCTTTCCCTCCCTTGCTTATCGTTTTTCCCTCCCTTCGTTCTCTCTCTTTTTGATTGTAATGCGATGTCTTTCTTTGTATTCAGCACTTTTCTTCCTCACTCGTTAATTAAGAGTGTGGAAGGTGAGAGAGGCAGGGGAGAGGTGTGTGTGTGTTTGTGTGTGTAAGTAAACCACCATAGGTGCAAAATGCTTTTATGGCAGGAGGGATGAGTGTGCATTTGTCTATGTGTGTGTGTGCAAAGGGGTCCTACTGGGCCAATCAACATTAATGAAATCAGGTGGGTCTGTGTGTGTGTGTGTGTGTGTGTGTGTGTGTGTGTGTGTGTGTGTGTGTGTGTGTGTGTGTGTGTGTTTGTCGGAGTGCTTGGCTTGCAGAAGAGAGGGGATCTAAAAGGGGTCTAAAGAGGAGTGAGAGCTAATTAGAGTTCCCTGTCTCACAAGAGTGTGGATCAAACACACACAGAAATGCACAACTACAGGTACAGAGCACACACACACACACGGTGTGCGCCTGTAGATATTCGTTTATACACACGCAGAGTTTCAAGTGAAGGTTTTCAATGTCAGGGAGGACTGAGCACAGCTGGTGGAAAGAGGACAACACATGCATACTAACACAGACGCACACACTGGCGCTGTACTTGTGAGGACCCTCATTGGCATAATGCACTTCCAAACCAATAACTAGGACTTGGACCTTTCCTCCACTTCAGCTCAACTTTTCAACCTCCTCCACCTGAAAACAGTCAGACTCCAGCGCCGCTTCCTTCAGGTTATGTTCATCTGCGGCTGAAGGTTAAAGTGGGCCGGACCCATCCGCAGAGGTGCACCTTTGATTAATAAGTAAATAAGTCTGTTTGGCAGTTTCATAAATAATAAAGTAAAGCAAGTTCATTTTTCATGTGCTACAGCCTGCCGTTCTTTCCACCCGAGGCCACGGAGATGCTCAACAAATCAGAAACTAATGTCACCCCACAGTCCCACCCCGCAACCAACACATGTCCTTTTAACAGTCGGCACTCGTTTTATCCATTTTCATCTGTGTGTGCCAAAGATATCACCAATTTACTATCGCCTATTTAATCCCAACAGTAGCCATGCTCTTATTTTGAAAGAGCCTAGACTTAACAACCTAGCTCCAGGCCTTCCTGTCTTGTGTTTTTCCTTAAGGTCATCTGATCAGGTCGCCGTTATAGTCTCTCATCCTGGACCACAGCTGGAGATGGTGGTGGTACTTATTCTGCTTTGCAGCGTTAGTGAGCGACACTCAGGAGCACCATCAGTCCAAGAAGGTGGACTTTGTGGAGGTGGTGGTACTATGTATTTTTCTTTACATTTTGGGTGTGGCTGCTTGCATGTCTTACCGCCACCACCTCAGCGTCAACGGCTGTTACACACCAAGCGCATTGTGAAAAAAACAAGAACATTAAATTCTGAACTTTTCGGATCCGAAGTTGTTCAAAAGTGTTAGTTTTTGTTAAAAATTCATCATCAGAAATGCACACAAATAAAAAAATGAAATCGACATCAAGCATTAATGAGATGGTCCTGATGGTTCTAGACAAGAAAATTAAGAAATTGAGATTCTGGGTTCATCCAGTTCCCAGGAGAAGGCAGCAGCAGGGAGAATCTGATGGCTTGATCCAGCAGTTGAAGCTTTCGTACATATTTCAGGATGTCAGTGGAGCACTTTGAGCTCAGAGTTGGGATCACATTTCAGGAGGCAGAGAGCGATTTGAGCGGTATAATCAGTACTGTTGCATGTTTTGAGCTACGAGCACAACTGTTGCCTAATGCAGTGGTCTGATTGGCCATATCTGTTTATTCTGAATTTGTCCGGTGACATCACGTGGTTCGTGTGATTAACAGGTGAGTCTAAAACATTTTTAGCTTGCCTAATTGTTATGCGCCTGATGTGCAGAGGCCTTAATTCAATGGGAAAAAAATCTAATCTACTCAACAAACATCACCAAACAAATGCGTGTCCATCTGTTCTGCTACACAGCGGCACTGTAGCTGTATTTACAGAGAGTTTACAACATTACTGGATGTAAACTTTACTTTTAAAGATGAAGAGAGCTGCCAGAAGGACAGGGCAGCAGAGGATGTCATGGTGCTTTTAAGGATAAAGTCTGCTCATCAACTTAAAATAACAAAGTGGAAGAAATTTAAATCCCACACGAGTATTGCCATTTATTTACGAGTTACATTAATCAGACAGGCTATATAATGTGTTGTTAAAGTTCCATTTTGGCTCTTTTACATTGAAAAATATCTTTTAAATGAACAATTTTTTGTTATTTAAATGTTCGTTGAGAGTAATAATTTTTAACAAGTACTTGTAGTAAAATTTGAGGTTGGTTAGGTTAGATCATGATGGCATTTGCTTATTCATTTTAAGCCGGAAAGCAGCCATGAAACTACGACAGTCCAGTGACAGTATGACAGTTATGGAAGCTTGTTTCTTGTTTGCATAGATAAGCTGAAAATTTAGGTTATTATCTCAAAATTTAGAATGAGGAAGTTAAAACTTTGAGATAATAACCTGAAATTTTGACTTGTGGATGGGTAATTTTTTTCTTACAGTGGTGCAAACAAGCTTTCCCACCATACAACACAGAACGGAGCTGGCTAAATCCACAAAGTGTAGTAACCCCCAGAGCGGCAGCAGTAGCACTGGTCAGAAAACAGGCATGTGACTTTTTCCTAAACTGCCAAATCCCACTTTAACCTTCTATTTGACTAAACTGTCGTCTCACTTTCAGGCAGCTTGAACTGAAGTTGTCAGGAGGAGCGCAGAGCTTGCGACTCTCTCATTTGAGCCCAGGCTGGAGTTAAACGCAGGTCACGAAATCAGTTTTGCTTGAGTTAGACACGACTGTGGTTTTAGTGAAATATAAATAAACTCACTCTGGAATTTGTCTTTAAACCAGACTTGGATCTTTTCTTTAACCAAGTGCTGCTGGCATCTAAAAATAACTCGCCATATGTTTAGTCTCTGCAAGTCTCAAAATATGCTGATTAACCTTACTACAATCCTTTTAAAATGTGTTTGCTGTGAGTAATAACAAAGAATTTTCTAAATGACTAAGCTTTTAAGAAAGTCTGCACTCTATTAAAATGTCTTCCACTGAACAGCTCACTACTTTTGAAGAAATGTAAACTCAAATAAATGCAAATTTTGACTTAAAGATTGATCTTCCTCTTTGCTTCACTTTGCAAAATCTTTGTTAAATAATATCCTTTGTCTTTGAAAATTGAAACAATTTCCAAAAGATCGCCAAGGATGTTTCTAATGTTGTTGCTCTCTTTCCTCTTACTTTCTGTATTTACCCCACCTCCCCGAGTACGCTCTTTGTGATGGTGGGGAGAAAGAAGTCCCCAATGACAGGAAGAGCCATGTGGAGGAACCAGGCCCAGCCAGAAGCTACCGTCTGCTATGACAGGCTTTTTAATAAGCATGTCCCTATTTTCTTAATTGTTCAACCTTTAGTTTGATTTTAAAATAATCCAAAAATATTGTTTATCTTTTTCTAAAACTTTATACATTTCTTAAAAACCTTAAACTGGTCCAGACAAAGATGGAAGTACAAGAAGATGTGCACACAAATACACTTAGTACACTCACCAGCTACTTTGTCAGGTACACCCAGAGCCCTTAAGTAAGTCAGAGTTGTGTCAGCTGGGGTTCAGAATTCAGGGTTGTCACGTCATGGGTCATGTACGGGTACATAGAAGGCAGTTGAAACACTGCATATGAAACCTCTGTGCTATTATATCTTTATCACGCACCTAGCATATTTTGATAACTTTCAGAACTACTGCAAGGCTCCAGGATCTGCCATTGCTGTAAAAAAGCAAAAACAAAACTCCGCTGGAATGAACGGAGATGATGTAACTCTTCCATTTAATGGCTCTGGATACACCTGGTCAGTTGCTTGCTAATGCAGAACTCTAATCAGCCAATCGCATACCAGGTATGCAGACATAGTCAAGATGACCTGCTGAAAGCCTGCAAGTTCTCAGCCATTAAGGTCAGAGTAGGCTTTAGAACTTTAAAATAAAGTTAAGGTGAAGAAGTTTTTAAATGGAGTGGGAGATTCACATCATGGCTGACAAATCTGCAGCAGCTGTGTGATGCTGTCGTGTCAATGGACCAAAATCTCTGAGGAATGTTTCCAGAACCTTGTCAAATGTGCGCCATGAAGAATGAAGGCAGTTCTGAAGGTACAAGGAGCTCCAGCCTGCTAGTAGAAGTGGCTGGCAAGTATAATTTTCAGTGTTTGTTGCTCAGTTGGTTTCCCAACAGTGTTTATGCAGAATAACGGGCCAATAAGAACTTTCAAACTGGCCCAAAAACCAAACAAGTAGCCTTGATACAAAGTCGCTTTTGCCAAGTAGCTCAGTCACTCTGTTCCTCTTGTTGTTGGTATCTCAATGACATGTTCTTTTAGTCTTTTTATAGAAAAACGTGTTTCTACAGGACAGCTAAAAAAAAAGCAGGATTAGTTCCCATGAATATTATTTATTGTCAAATCTAAGACACGCTGGAATTCCAGCACGGAGAGCTTAAAGCCCCGTGACACGCAGCTGTCACACACTTAAACGTAAGCTCTGTGAAATATTTACAGTCGTCGTCACATGCGTGTCTGTTGAGGTGCACATCAAAGGGAGGCCACTGCGCCTGCTTAACATCTCCACTGATCTCAAATGGGCCCCAACACACACATGTGCCTGCCATGTGTGTATCTGTTAACGTATGGCACTTTGCGTCATGTTGTTTGCGCGTGTGTGTATCGGCGTGACTGTGTCTGAATGAGCACGCGCTTGTGTGTGCGTGTGGATACCTTGTACAGCGCCGTTGTCTTGCTGGTTCCCATTAACTTCAGGTTTGTCCTCGGCTACAGCAGCGTCTGGTTTGTAACACAAAGACAAGACAGAGTCTCAGTGGGTCGGCCAATAAAAAACAAACAGCACCTTGTAACTGCGTGCAGGTGAAAGACAAACCGGATCCACAGAGGGTCCAGCCCCAGACAGTGTTTTTTTTTTTTAAACTTTTTTCTTCGTGAGAATTACATCGGTGGGCGTTGCTATGCTTCTTTTCTCCTTATTAATGATAAACAGGCATAGTCACTGCCATCGGCCTGCACAGGAGCACCAACCTGAAGCAAACGTGGAGCTGCTTCTACGAGACGTAGTGCTGCAAACTGCGCTGGCGTTGTTTTTCTGCAGCGGTGCCACGCAGACAGATTAACTGCACGTTTACTGCTGCTGGTGATTATTCCGAATTTTATGGAAGGACGACAGAAAAACAGCAGCAGCCTATAACTCTGCTTTTAAAGCTGCTTGTTAGGGTAAACAAGAGGCTGAAGGGGGGGCAAATCATTCATCTAACAGGCAAACATTTAAGCAGTTTTAAACACAGGCAGTTCGAGCTAAAGCGACAAAGGGAAGAATTTAAAAAGACGAAAGAAGAAGAAGTAGGAGGCGGCGAGAAAACAAACCGTTCTTTTTGTTGTTGTTGTTGTTGGCAGCGTGCAGCGGCTCAGGAGAAGGGGAGGACGAGGACGAGTGTTTCAGAGCGTCCTCCACTCTCTCCCTCCTCTTCGACTCGAACTCCAGCGCCTCCTGCAGCTTCCTCTTGGCCTTCTTCTCCTTCTTCAGCCGCTTCTGGATGGAGGCTGGAGGAAGAAGATAGCTCGTCTTGTATCTACCATGTAACTCACTGGCAAATTTCCATTCTTTCTAACGGCCCCTTTATGTTCTAACATTGCTTTTGAGGCTCATCTTCAAAGAACTTGTCAAATGCCCCCCCCTCCTCCTCCTCCTCTAACCTCTGCTCTGTAGTTCAGAGGTGAGCTGTCGTTCCAGACTCTCTCTCATCTCCCGTTCCCTGTAGAGCTCCATCTTCAGCTCCCTCTTCTCCGCCTGGATCTGTTTGTCCTGCGCCCGGGCGTTCTCCACAGCCACCTTCAGCAGGCCCTGAGTGCACAGATTGGAGTTTATAACCTCTAACACTGTTCAGGACGTGCAGATGAGACAGAGACCTGCCGTGTCGTCAGTGTTTAAATTAGGAGTACTTAGAAAAAAAAGAAAAGAAATTAAATCCCAATTTGTATATATGAATTTTTCTTTTGTATAAGTTAAAGTGCATCTGCCAAATTATATTATTTTTACTGATTTTTAATTTTTTCAAGGACTTCTTTAGTGAAACAGAGAGCTGAGGAGAGAAATGTCACGATTACAGACTGTGACCATACGTGTTTGTTTCCTTACTTTAGTTAGCTAATACACATGCTCATTACAAAAGCATCAGCTCTGTTACATCATGTTCAAGTGACTGTTTAACTCATTAACCCACTGTCTCTGCACATGTCCAAACTTTGTCTTCTAACCACTCAACCTGAGCTGTCCCTCATTTCTAATCGTGTCCACCTTGTCTTTTTAACAGCACCACCATCTACATCCTCTTCATCTTTCTCTCTCAGATCACTCCTCGTCACCCACTCTGTTCGTCACCTGTCTTTGTTGACCCCGGGTATTCAAACTCATCCACCCTCACTACCTCGTCTCCTTTCCACCTGCTTCCCTCTCATTCACACACACGTATTCTGTCTTGCTTCTCATTCCAAACATATGCAACCATAAGAATTATATGACCTAATGTAATATTGCTGTAGTGTTCTTTGCAGTAGCATTAAAAAAGTGCAATAAGTCCCTCGTACTCCTGGAGTCCATCTGCTGCCTTTTCCCAGCGGCTGTTAAAGCGACAGTGACAGTGAGAACAGCATCACACCTGTATGTTGGTGAGGAGGGTCTCCACTGACGACAGGCCGTCAGCGAACAGGAACGGAGCAGGAAACCCGGGCGGCAGGGTTTGTCCGAGCGGAGACTCCTCTGTGAGAAACAGTGAACAGAGCAGGCAACTTTAAATATTTTGGACCTGATGAAATGGTTTATCTGCCTGGTTCATTTAAGACGCTGTCTTAATTTGTGAGGACCCTGCTCCACAAATTCAAAAAAAGAAGAAAGGTTCCTTCGACAGTACTTGTCACGAAGTCAGAGTGAAGTTTATGAAATGTTTACTAAGGTATAAAAGGCAACGAAGCAGCGTCACAGAAATCAATTACACCAAACCCACACGCACGCACACACACACACACACACACTCTGAGGTCGTTAGTATTCAGACAATCATGTGGGGTACTAATTGGCAAGGATTAAAGACATCCTTGATTTGTGTGTGTATGCGTGTGTGTTCATTGTGAGTGCGTCACAGTGTCTGCTCAGCCCTTAATGCCTAACACACTGACAACTGGGTTAACTCTGCTGTGAAATTAACGCTGATTAAGATGCACTCTAACACACACACACACACACACACAAAATCTCCATCCCCTATCTGCCACTTCATCCACACATCCCTCGACTACCTTTCCCATCGTTCCCAGATCTTCCTTCATCATTTATTTCTCCACCTCAGCTCATCTCTTTTCTTCATCTTCATCTTTTCAGGCTTCTTTTTTCCCTCCGTTACTCTTTTCCCCATTTCCTTAAATCCATGTCAGGTTATCCTTTCTATCGTTTCAACCCTTTTTGTCTTCCCTGCTCCTTTCCTTATTTCTCTGCAATTAATTTCCTTATTTCTGTTCATCCTTCTATGTTAAGCTTCTAGTTTGTGGTTTTTGGCTACTTGGAGTGGTGGAAACAAGCTTTAAGGTAGAAACTGACCATCTTCCAGTTGCAGGTCCAGTACTAACACACCTTTAGCTCTGTTTTTGGTCCCTACGAACATTTTTGTCACTTCTGAATGATCGACTCATAATTCTCTGCAAGTTTGCCACTATGAGCAAGCCCTTTTACACTAACTACAATATTTGTTATTTCTCATTTATAGCTGCTTTGAGCCTCAAAATGCTTCTTTTTCTGCTTTATCTCCTTATTATGTTTCCATCTTCACTGATTCATCACCTCCATTTTTTTTATTCCTCTGCTTTTCACTCAGACCCCTGCCACCCCTTTCATTATCAAACACTGAAAACGGCCAGGCTTTTCATATATTTACCCTGATTTCTTTCACTAAAATATGTTTGGCCAAAAAATAAATAATGAATAAATAAAGGGTAGAGACGGTGAAAAGGTGGAAGAGCAGAGAATGATTTAAGAAAAAAAGGTAGATTAAATAAGGAGCACAAACAAGGAGATAGTAAAGGAACAAAAACAGGAGCTGGAGGAAATGTTCATCAGTGTTAGACATATTTGAGCTTTTATTTTGAAAAATCAATAGATGGTGAAAGAGATTCATTGTTGGCTGGCTACAATTTGAAGTTCATACCATCCATACTACAGCTCATACTACTAAAGAAAGAATAAAAAACACTATGAATGAAATTTCATGTCAACTTCCAAGTTTCCATTTAAAGAAAAGACACAATAAAAATACAACCAAGGATTTGAAGCGCTGTCAGGTCATTTTTGATAACAAGTTTGGTTTATTATGTTGCTCTGCTACAGTAATTACTGCACTACACCGTCCAGATGGAGCGAGGCCACAGGGAACATTGTGGTCTGTTAACACCCCAGAGAGGAGCGGCAGCACTTCCTGTGTCTTTTTGTGGCTTTTAAAAGTTTTTTTACTCAATACATAATTTTTGTTGAATCACTCTCCAACAATACCAACTACACTACAGACACAGTAAATATTGTAGGTTACTTTCCTGTCTATCTGAAAATAAAACATAAAATCCTTTTAGCACATAAACTCCTTAAGACTTAGGAGTCAAATTATCCTAACATATGTATTTTGTTCTAGAGTGAATCATTTGTACAATATTTGATTTTTGTGGCATTTAACAATCTTAAATTTACCTGGAAGGCAAAGAATGCATTATATACATGGAAAAATGTAGGTCTGTTTATTATTTATAACTAATGTATAAAGAACGTATATAGAATAATTCTAAACATCAATTAAATGGTAAATGTACTTAAATTTAAAGCAGCTTCTTACAAAAGGCTCATTCAGCCACATTTTTTCCATACCAAGAACTTTGAATCTAATGTTCACGGGATCTTGCCCATAGACTTTTTGACATGCAGGTTGGAGGAACCAGAACCAAACCACCATCCTTCCAATTAGTAGATCCAACCATACTCAACAACTTGATTTGTAACATGTCCTTTTTTAGAATGTCAAAATGCGACAGCACAACAAGCTGTTAAAAAAACAAACAAAAAACAGTCTGCTTGATGGACTTTTTGTGCTTTCCAGCGTCCTCTGCAGTGCGTCACCCCTCTTTCACCCACATCTGAAAATCTCCAGACAGGAAAGGAGACGACCCCGTTCATTTACCGACATCAAAAGCAGCCTTTGGGAGTTTCAGAGTCGAGTAAATATGTGTAAATGACCCGGTTCTGTAAAGCGTTCTGCAGAATGACGCTCAGGTTAGGGTTCATCCTTTCACACGCAGGAGTGTGGCTGCTCCATCATTCAAAAAAATTTCTTCACAGACAAACTTCATAGCAAGCAGCTTGATGCAGCCTCCGTAAAAGAGTAGACTCTTCTGGAATCACTCTTCTGGAATCACAATCACTGTCTTGAGTCGCCGAGATCATCTCTGGTAGTGACACTGTAGCTAGAACTTAATGCACCTGGTTTATTCCCACCCATTATTTTCCAAAAATGAAAGGTGGCCATCAGTGCTTCCCTTTTAGTTTCTACTACAAGCACCTATGGTAACAATTTGGAAATCCTACATCGCCTTGTTCTGGAGTTATCATGTTCACAAAGTTAGGTTTTTCTTACGGTGGTCCTGAGAGGTCAAACGGACTGTAACTTAAGAAAACACCAGCAAATAGAAAAACGCTGCAAACGGACACAAAATGCAGCGGAAGTTGAATAAATTACATTTAATTTCCGTTTCATTAATAGTTTGATAAAACTTCATCACTGACCTCGACTTAGAGTTTAAACTCACCAAGATTCAAACTCATCCAAGGTTCTTAGTGTATACACCTGTTGTATCAGTTTGAAAATCCTACATGACATCTTTCGAATGATCATGTTCTTGAAGATTTTCATGTTCAAGATTTTCAAAAAATTTGATCTCTGACCCAAGATTCAAACTTTTGGAGATTATGTATCTGAATTTCAGGAGCGGGACCATGCCTCTAAACACGCTCCTTCCGGTTGCCATCTATATAGGTTTCACCAGTTCTGCAACTGTTCATTCTCGCTTACGTGCCCCACCCTCCCTCCCTCCTTGTACTCAATTCTTTAACTTCTTCACTTCTATTTAGTACATGGGGATCTGCCAGGCCCAGGAGCCATCGCCAGTCCCCTTCGAGGCCAATTCATGTCCAAGCATTCACCTTTACCTACTAAAACGCTGTCAATCCTAAAACGAGGACATGGGCCCAGCTAGTGAAATCTGTGATTTTTAGTGGATTCATCTATGGTATAAGTCAGGGGTGGGCAATCTCACCTTGGGTCAACACACCTGAATCACATGATTAGTTTGTTACCAGGCCTCTGGAGAACTTCAAGACATGTTGAGGAGCTAATTTAGCCATTTAAATCAGCTGTGTTGGTTCGAGGACACATTTAAAACCTGCAGGGACACCGGCCCTCGGGGCCTGGAATTGCCCACCCCTGGCTTAGGGGGTAGAGCAGGTCATCTAATAATTGGAAGGCTGGCGCGTCGATCCCGGGCTCATTCAGTCTAAACATCCTTGGAGAAAATATTAAGTCAAGTTGGTCTCCGGAGTGTGAATGTTAGATAGAAAACACTTAAGCACAGGAAAAAAAGTGCTTATATGGGTGAATGAGGCAAGTTGGACAAAGTGCTTTGAGAACTCAGGTAGAGAAGCTCTATATAAGAACCGGTCAATTATCGTATTCACAAAGGCAGGTGTCGACAACATCAACCTTTAATGGCCGAGTGGTAAAAAGCGTTTTTTAAATGAATCATTTTAAAGATTATGAGAAATCTGCCACCTGTAATCAACACTTTTCTAACTGTATTAGGAACCTCCATCTGGGAAAACTTTCATATTCATCCATACATGGCAGAGTGTTTATGTGTTAGATAGTTCCTCTGATAGATAAAAAGCAACAACTGAATTATGTGAAACAAATTGTGTTTGTGAACCTTAAAGCTCTTAAAGTAATTCTGATGCTTTCACTAGCTAACATCAACACAGTCTAAAAAGCCTCAGTTCTGATTGGTTCACAGAGCCTACTATAAAAGGCAACACACCATCACATTTATGAAGGAGGGCTGGCGCGGGGGGGTCACGTGGCCTGACTCCACCGCAGATATCGGATTAAGAAGACAATCTTCGAGACCGAGTTATCTATTTTTCTTTAGCCCTTATTGATTTTAAAGGAAGTAGCACTCCTGCTGATGTCTGCAGTGGAGCTTCAGGAGCGTGAAAGGTGGAGGTGGGGGGAGGGGGTGAGGATGGAGAAAGAGGAATTACAAGAATAATGTGTTATAAGAATGGAAAATACAGCGGACGGGGGGTGGAGAAGAAAGAGTGTGAAGGAGGAAGGAGAGGCCCTGCTTGCTTTTAGTGCGTGACCTCCTGACCCCTTTTAGCCACGCTTCCTTCACTTAGCTTTCCTCGCTCACCCCCACCCCACATCCATCTATCCATCTTTTATCCATCTCTCCCTCCCTTGCTCATCTGATTGATGGTTTGGAGACAGGTGATCAATAGGAGGGGCAGAACATCCTGACTCTTCTGTTTCTCAGTGTGTGTTTGTCTCTGCATGTGTGCGTGTGAATACAGTAGATGAGGAAAGCCCTCCTAAGTGAGGAAATTTATCAGATGTCAGAAGTAACCGGGAGAGGGCTTAGATTAAGGCGAGTAATGGAATATCCTCACTTATATTTAAGTGTGTGTGCGAGTGTGTGGTCCAACCTTTGTCCTTTGTTATTTTCTTGATGGGTGGAGTAGAGTTGGTCAGCGCAACATCTGCATCAGCTGACACCAGTCCTGTTGAACGAAAGCATGCTCTGGTTATGTGTGGGCATTACAGTGTGGACGCATGTGTTTGCATACATGTACATCTTCCTACTTGTGTGTTGTCTAGTGTGTAAGATCTTTACTATACATGCTGCTTTGTTTAAAAAAATGTAAGACAATTACTAAAAACTTATGTTTTGCCTGTGTTCAAGAATGAAAGACAGCATAACCAAATTAGACATATTTAAGACGCTTAAAACCATTAAAGATTTATTTTTATGTTTAAAAACTTACTTTCATGATAACCAGTCAGCAAATCACTTAAAAAAAGCTCAAAGTACACAGTTTACATTGATGTGACAAAGAAAGCAGCAAATCCTCTGATTCAAGAGGCGGAAATGTGAGTACTTTGCATGGTTTCTCAGATTTTTGCATTTAATCTGCCTCTTTGCTGTGTGTGTGATGAGTATGTGTGTGTGTGTGTGTACCCAGTCTTTCAGGCGAGCTGGAGGCTGAGCTGCTGGGCTGCGACTGCAGAGGAGTATTGGTTTCGTCAACAGACGGGGAGAGCGAGGGGCTGTCGCACACTCTCTCCTGCAGGAGGAGAGGCAATGAATGAAAGTAAGTGGAGAGATTCAAACATGTTACACTGGCTTATAACTGGCTGCCAGTGATTAAAGCTCTCTCTCTCTATAATCATTCTCAACATGTCATAAAGATAAACTTTATTAAATTTTTCATTGATAATTACAAAGTTGAGTAAGACTGGCTTTGGATGGTCCGCTGCACAGATGTTTACGTGAGATGATTAAATGAATGTGTATTTGTTGTAGAAATACAACTAATTCATATTTTGTCAGAAATTTGATTAAATAAAATAAAATCCAAAACTTAAAGATATCAAACTGACAACAACACAGCCAAGCTTCCCAAATCCAAATTCCCTCCGGATATTTTGCTTGAAAAATGTATTTAATTATTGCATGTATTTATTTTCACTTAAAATATGTATTTATTATTATGAAACAATACATCATTACACATCTTTAGAAACTTTAACATCTATTCCAACATCTTCACAGTCTGCACCACTGCATGTATGTGTATAAACATGACGTACGTGTTGTTATTGTCTGTGTAATGTGAAGTACATTTAGAGCAAAAGAAAAATAACTCCTGCATGTGTACACATACTTGGTCAATTAAAGCTGATACTGATTGCACTGCAATTTAAACCAAATGAGCTTTTCTTAACAATTTAAGGACTCAATCTGCTTCTATAAAAGGCTTTAATCTTTATATTTGGGTCTACTGTGTTATTGCGCAGCCTAAATATTTAGAAAAGTAGGGTATATGGTAATCATCTGGTGGGCTGCAGTAGCCACATAAGGCTAAAGAGCACTGTAATGGCAAACAAACTCTCGAATAAAAGATTTATGTAAAGATGTAAAAGATTTTTCACACAGGAGTTCCTCATGGATCCCAGTCGGATCCTCTGCAGTTGCGTGTCGTGTTACCTTGATGACAGGTGCACGGTGTACGTGAGTGTGTATCTGCTGGGCTGCAGCAGCCATGTTGGCAATGGTGCTTAGGTGGTTCATCTGTGACATCGCCATGGCAACAGACGCAGGCGGCAGCCCCATGGGCAGCAGAGGGTGGGGCATCATCATAAAAGGCAGATCCAACCCTGAGAGACAAAAAGAGGATAAACTCTCCTCACTCTGAGGCAACCTGACATTAAGGCAGGGGGTCTCAAACTGTGAGGTGGACCCCACTGGTGGGACGTGGATAATAACTAGGTGAAAGACAGGAAGTGAAACCAAGATGAGTCCATATCATTTATTTAAATTTTCAGAGAAAAGTTCTTGCTGATGCTATTGTGCTGACGTTGATTTCAGTTAAATGAAACTGAGAATTTTTTTTGCAAATAGTGATTGGTAAGAGTTGTTGGCTGTGGAGCAGAAGATTATTATAGTTAACCAAAGCTAAACACAAAACTTAAAGCTATATGTGAAAAAAACTTTTAACAAAGGCAAAAAACAGACTTAAAAAAAACCTAACTGAAATGATTTTGTGAACTTGGAAAACATAACTAAAATAAATATGAAAATAAAACTGGTAAAAATTTAATTACAACTTGTCTGATGAGGCACTGATGACTGTTTAATGAGAAGTTAGTAGTCTAAAAAAACTGAATCACTGCTTTGAAAAAGTTGTTAAAAAATACACACAAAAATCTGTAAAAGCACATTTATTTGCCTTTTTACACATTTTCCTGAATGGTTAATAACTAAAATACATACATAAGCCTTTGGTTTTATATATTTCAGGTGCATATTCACTTAAAATTAATTTCACGTTTATTGAGGGTAGTCTTTTTTTTTAATTTGAGTGTTCATCTGACATTTGTCCGCCATGCAATAATAATTAAAAAAAGACTAAAACTAACAGTGAGACTAATAAAAACTAAAGCAAAACTAAACATTTTTTAAGCAATAAAAAGCAAACTAAAACAAGGAAATCCACCCTGGCAAAGAACTGAAATCAAACAGGATTAAAAACATAAAGTGAAAATAAAATAAGAATAAAAACAAATGAGAAAATTAAAAAAATTATAAAGGTGGTGAGGCACAACACAAGTGCGGCCTCCCAGAAAATGCTTGCAAACCATTGCTTTAAAGCAGCTTAACTTAAGAGGAGCATCCACTAGTGTAACAGCAGAAATATGACATGAAATGAAGAAAATGCGAATATGTTTTCTTTTTAACCCAAGTAAAATATTACATACGAGATCTTTTTCTCTCTCTCTTTTTTTTTACATTTGGTTACTTGAAGCTTGATGGTGAAAACGAGACAGTAACACAGTCTGAGATTGTGTCTGTGAACTCAGGTTGAACTTAACCTTGAGGAGAGAGGGAGAAGGAGAGGTGTCATTTCAGTGTCGAATGTCTCGCTAACAAAAGTTAACCAAGCAGAGGAGGACAGAGAGAAAGAAAGACAGGAAGACCAATAAAACACGGAGGTCAGAGGTTTGAAGGGTGATGAGGTGAAAGAAGGGAAAAAGAGAAGGTCAGTTTTGTAGGTTTTTTTCTGTTTTATTCTCTGCCTGCGCTCTTTGAATACATCCTGTACTGGTGCATGTCCTGTCTCCAGGTTTTGTGCTTTATCTCTAGCAACACTTTTACGTTTATTTACCCAGCTCTCCTTTTTATCCTCCTCTTATCCACCTCTCAGTTTGCCCTCTTTCCCTCCCCCTCGTCTTCCTCTCTTTACCTCATGCACAGATGCACATCACCAACCACACATTTCACCGTGTTTGTTAGGACTATCCATTAGCTTCGATTCATCCTTTAAAACCCCCCTTCCAAAACCTCTTAGAAGTCCAACCTTGACCTCTGACCTCCAACCTCAGTGACCCCCCCCCCCCTTGACCCTCAGATAGGCCACTTATTTTCCAAGACGAGCTCCCAGCTAGATGTACACACTTGAGCAGACGCCTCAGCTGTCCCACACACACACACACACACACACACACACACACACACACACACACACACACACACACACACACACACACACACACAAATGTGCAGCGGCTGCTTTCATTCCAATGAAACAATAACACTGATTGCTGTTGTCGTGACGATTGAAGTGATAGAATAATCAATGTGAGTGTTTGTTGCCGCCGCTGTTCTTTTTGTGTGTGTGTGTTTGTTTGTGTGTAAATATATTACTTCTGCAGTTAGAAAAGGAGTATGAGTGTGTCTCTGTTTATGTGTGTGTGTGTGTGTGTGTGTGTGTGTGTGTGGTGTTGATGAATTGAGTCATTTAGTAGAGTGTGTGCTGATTAATCCCGGCAGAGTGTTAATACAGGAGATGGGAACAGATTAAATGGCGTACATTAACAAATATTGCCACCCTTTAAACACACAAACTCACACACCTTCAGTGTGTGTGTGTGTGTGTGTGTGTGTGTGTGTGTGTGTGTGTGTTGTCCTGTTTTTCCTTGTGGTTTGTCTCTCGTGGCGTGGATGTGTGCACTCACTGTTTGCCAGTAGCTGTTGCTGCTGGAGTTGCTGTTGCTGATTGACAGCTCCTAAGGTGGGCCCCCTCCCGGCACCTCCCGCTGCACCACCAGTACCAGCTACTCCTCCTCCTCCCACTGGTGGTGCTCCTCCACCACCACCACCTCCTCCTCCTCCCGGCCCTCCGCTGTGGGCACCAGCAGGGGGGCTGGTCAGACGCTCCTTATCCCAGGAACACTCACTTCCTCCTGGGTAGAGATGGAGATATTTTTATTCCAAATGGTCAAAAAAAAACAAACAAATACATGTTTGTGTGTCTTTTTTCCCTCGTTTTTAAACAACAGTTCATCGGTTCATCCATTTCTGGGTACATTTCTGGGGAAAGAAGGACCCTATAAAGTACTGTGGCTAAAAGTTAATTTCTGTTACAGTCTTACAACAGCGTCGGACAGGGTACCACTATTTTAGAGCCCTCCAAAATTGTAACCACAGCCTTTAAACCTTTAAACAGAAAAGCTGACATTTCATAACGACACCTGTTACAAAACTGTGTTCAGCATAGACTGTAAATAAAAGATGTAGTTACTATCAAGCCACCCACTGGCTAGCAAGGCATTACAAATCTTGAGTTGAGCATTTTTGTTGTTGCCATCTTACTGTTGTGAAACCAGCAAGTAGGCTGTAGATCTCAATAACCTGCCTATTGTAAAGCATGCCCTGCTTTATCATCCTTTTTTACCCTAAGGTGGACAATAATGTACAAACTGAACGTCACTTCCTGTTTAGTTAGACTTAAAATTAGCTACTGAGACCCTGAACTCTCAAGGAAATGTTTACCAAGGCCATGAATTAAATAGGTAGTATGGTTGTTTTATCTAAAGCCTGTGCAGCAAGTACTCTTTCAATATATAGATCACCAGCTCAACCAGCTAGTGGTACCCTGCACTTAATGGCTCACTATAGTATAATATGACAGGAACCAGGAAAAATGTTTGGTTGCCCAGTGATTTGTTTTGCTTTTGTTGACTGATTGCAAGTAGTTGCAGTGACCAACTCGTCCACCACTTTAGATCAGAAGTGACTGGTGGTCCAACTCTACTTGTAATCACTCTTAGACAGATTGCCAACAAGTTGCAATCAACTTGAGCGAGTCTGCGCCGATGACTGCAGCTCGTCTCTGACACGTTTCTTTACAGCACAGGACTCGACTCATCTTGACGCTGACTGGTTGCATTCTGGTTATATTCCTATATAAAAGGAATAATGCAGAGCACCTGTATAATTTTGCAGTTAAACTACCATCCTGCAGCAACTACGTCACTATTTGTTGATGAGTTTCTGAATTTCTGTTTTAAAGCAAGTGACTGAAGCATAATGTAGCTCTGCTCTGTATGCGGGGAGCACAGGAGTTAAGCACATGGCAAAAACCCAGAGCAAAGGAGAGAGATTAGCGTGACTATAGATGATGTCAAAATGTAAAAGACACTCTCACAGTGGAAATATGAAAAGAGCGAAGTGCACATAAATCAGGTTAAAAAAAAGAAGCCAAATTTAATTTTACATGTTTTCTCAGAAAGGCCGAGGTCTCTGTGGAGCAACTCAGACCACTACTGATGGATATATCAATCGATAGAATTGATCTAAAAATCCTGGTACATTTTCAAAGCTTCTTCAAACAGCAGGAAACATTTGGTTGTCTGTGAAATTAAAAGGGAATAAAGAAAGTGTCCAAAATGCTGTTTCTTATAATTAAAAATGATAAATGAAATACATTTAGCTTGTAAACAATCACACGCGTGTAAATGACTGACTGAAGCATTATTATTGTGATAAAATGATGATCACCACAACTTTTTTCCGTTGTTTGGATCCAAAATGAATTTAATCACTTTCTCACTTCACACCTTCATTCCCTCTCTCTCTCTCTGTATAGTGCTGCCTCTCTCGCTCTGCACAGTTCTCTCTCTGCTCCCCTCTCTCATCCATCTTCATCTCCCTCCATTAGTTTGAATTAGCAACCGTCTCTCTCTATTATTGCCTACTGAATTCCCTGCGCTCTGTGAGTGTGTGTCTGTGTGAGAGTGTGTGTGTGTGGATGACAGCTGGGCCTCATCCCCTCTGCCATTTACACCGGGGAAGAAAAGAAGTATAAACAGATGGGCAGATGTTCTCTCTCTCTCTTCTCATTTTTTCCTTGGCCTTGTCCTCTACCTCCCAGCCTCTTTTTTTCTCTTTGCCTCTCCTCCATGTTTCTCTGTCTTTCACTTTTTTGGGCCTTTTTTGCATTTCCGTGTGAGTCTTCTGTGTGTCTCTTCCTCCTTTTTCTCTCCAACTTTCTTAGAAACTTACACCTTTGCTCTGAGGCTACAGCTTGCAGCTCTGACACCTGGATTTCAATTTAGCTGCTGCAAAGTTGTGGCTCTTGTTTCCTTTATTTTGGGGTCAGTAATCATTCCTCTTGTTCATAACATTAGGGTAAAATAAAATCCAGTCTTAACAGGCTTTTAGTGTGAGGGAGTGGGGACTAAACCCAAAGCAAGTTATTTAAAGCTAATAAGAGGGTTGTGAGACTTTATCTTCTGACCTTATGGTCTTTTTAGGAAAAAGAATTTGCTGTTTTTGTTACTTGCCCTCTATCCACTCCACTCCAGAGGATATCCACTTGGATAGATGAATTCAGATTCCTAAACCCTCATTAGCTTCAGATATAGTTGACACACACAATAAGGACTGCATGACCCCTATCATTTCCTCTGATGCTAAACTACAAAAGGACAACCAGCATGAACAGGAAGAAATATGTTTTGGTTAAAGTCATCGCTCCACCTATTCACTTTTTAAAACATCAACCTATGGTAACTGGGATAGGCTCCAGCCCACCCACAACCCTAATAAGTGTAAGCAGAAGACAGGATGGATCGAACCTGTTTTAGGTTTATATGCCACTAACTATGGTGTCAAATTAAGTTTGCTACAAAACTTCTCTTCTCCTACAGCTTATTTAGGCATCAGTCACACAGGCCCAGAGACTGTGCTGGTCTGCAGGCACTAGTCACCTTCAAAGGAAAAGTTGTGCTTTAAAAGGTTAAACTTTCACCGTCAGTGCAAGTAGTTTCAGTCATTATGCAAATGTACTGTTTATACATTAACTGCTTCCTTCACTACAGTGAACGTTTGCAAACATAATCTAATTAGTGATTTTGTCTCCTATCACAGCAGCTCTATAATAATCAGCAGGAGTTCGAGTAATGTAGCTCTTTCTCCATTAATAAAGCAATTAGAGGCAGATTTGAAAAATAATGAGATATGGCGTTACCTTCCTTTGTGAATACCAAGAAAATATCATCTCAATGTGGTTTAATAGTAATTACCCATGTGTTCATCTCTCACTCTTGAGTTTATGGCCCTTTTAATTTGAGTAATCCTCACTGAAATAACACTGCTCTTGTTCAAAAATTCATTTTGATTTCATTCATTTATATTAGATAGATACGATTTATTTCGAACATGCAAATATAATTGAAATAACAAGAGAAAAAAACAAAACTTAAAAATCATCATGTATATATCGATGTCTACAGAATGTGTGTGCTCGAAAAGGAGTAGGATGAAGTTTACAGTTTTCCTGTTCCTACCCCCTTACTTCAAATTTCATTGCTTACAAATCCATATCCAGGATTCAACATATTTATTGATTTGTTATTTAGTATTTATCCACGTTTCTATACAGAAAAAACACTTGTTTGCTTTTCTAACTCGACACAAAAACCTGACACGTGAGTAATTTTGCTGACATGCTTTGGCCCAGCGTCTCACATGTTCTCACTGTTCAATGGTTAGAAGCTGCCATGGAGACATATGTCATGTTACAAGCACTTTATAACCAAAGCTGCTGCCACAAAGTTGCTCTATATGAAATCACCATGTTGCTATGAAGTATTTGCAGTTTTTTCCTCCTCATAGGTTTTATTAACTCCATCTTCTTTCTCACCTCCACCTACAGTGTTTTATTTCCAGTGTGACACTGTGGAACATCTGCATCTACACACCAAATCACACCGTCACACAAAACATCGGTGTGGACAAACAAATGGCGTGATGTGAAATGACATTTAAAAAAGAAGACTTTAAATGTGCTGATGTGACTCACAGAATGGCACAAAAAGTGTTGCGCTATGATTTAAATGTCAGGTTTCATGTTGGTTAATGATACAGAAATAACTGCGGGCCGACGATGCAAAGGTTTAACTCTGCAGCAGCATGTCAACTGTCCTCTCTCCTCAAGAAGGCGGCAGAAAAAGAAGATTCAGGTGAGCAATCAGAGGGGTGGTCTCTTGAACCATGGACAGTTTACACCATTTGTGTACACTTATAGCATTTGTTCTTTAATTGTTGTACACGTGTGACATGCTTTTAACGCCAAGAACTGTCTTCCACTTCCTTTGGTTTCTCCCTTCAGAGGTCACCACAGTGGATCACCTTCCTCCATATCACCCCACTTCTAGCATCCTCCTCTGCATGTCCTCCTTCGCTACATCCATGTAACTCGTTTGAGCTCTTCCTCTTCAACATCCTTTGTCCAATATATCAACTATCCCTCCTTTTCAAACCATCCAAGCCTTGCGTCTCTAACTTTGTCCCTCTGAGATACTCACTGTTAGGTTCTGCTTGCTGGTTGATGGTCTTTCAAACAACTCGCACCAATAATTATCTGCCATTTTGATATCTTGTCCAAGGGAGGATTTTTGATTTCGAAGTTGAAGGCAACATCTAAAAATTAACCTTATGAGTAAAAATAAGGAGAATCACAATTTTTATATTTTCTATATTTTATGTTTACTTGCTATATTACATGTAATGTCTTTGAGTGGACAGGAATGGGAAGCACGGAGATATCAAGACCCCGAGCTTATAAAGAATGTGGCTCAGGGTCGTAAACAGGTTCATCCTACCATCCAGCACTCTCTGTTTTAATGCATTTGTCCTCATGTGCAAAACGCTTCTGTAATTATTTTCTTATCCTTCTGCCTGCTGGTGTCGACAGTAGGCTTAAAAAAATATAAAAAGTTGCGTTGTATTTATGAATAAACCTGCGATTAATACAAATATATGAATTGCGCAACTCCTCACGAACACGTTATTTCAAGTTCTTGTTTCTTCTGTCCTTTCTATTGCACTTCCTCTCCTCCCATGTCTGCCATTGTTTCCTAAACTTCCTCTTCCTCGTTCTTCCATTGAAAAAAAAGAAGATATATTTTCCATTCACACATAAATTGGTCCTTCTCATTTTTCCATCATTCCAATCTGTGTTTTTCTCATTTTTAATGAGAGGAAATACAAATAAATACATTTTAAAAAACGTGACTGTCACCATGATCTGGACAAGCCCGAGCGATCGACTTTCACCCATCAAAACAGCAAAATATCTCTTCTTTTTCTCCCCTTTTTCTCTCGCCCTAAATATCCCTTTCTTTCCTCATGAGTCCATTTTTCCTCTCGCTTTATTTTCTTTTTCATTTCGTTCCTCTGCGCTATTGTCCGCCACAGTTTCCCAGGCCGGTGTGAGTGTCCCTTACAAAGAAAACAAGGTCGGACAATGAAAAGAAGGCTTTCCACGCACTCGCGAAACAAAACAAAGAAGAAAAAAATCACTCTGAATGAAATAAAAGAAGGAGAAGAACACAGAGACGAGCAGGAAGGAATAAATAAAAAACGACAGAAGAAAATGAGAGAATAGAGTAACTCTATCGGCCCATTTGCCAGGTCAGCTGAAGAAAAGGAAGAGAAAGAAAAAAAGAAACAGGAGAGTCTGGGTGGAAACAGAAGGAAGGACCCCACGCTCTCTCCTTTCTTTTCCTTTTGCTTTTTGTTTTCTGTCTTTTTAATAATTCAGAGAAGCAAACACAGCAGAGATTGACTGAGCCGGAAAACACGTGTGTGCCTAAGTTACCTATGAAAAAGGACTAAAACATAATACTTATAAATTTAAAAAAAAAAGGACTGATTAATACATTTGTTTAATGTTTCAGCTATTGTCAGGCTGTAATCTGACCAGAACTTACATAAGAGATGAGCAAATTTCCATGGAATTCAGGCACTCAGGTTTAGTTTCATTACTTTTGTCTGAAGTATTCTTTTTCTTTTGTCTGTCTTTTATTTCCTTCCTGTCTTCTGTCTTTTTTTGCTTTACCCTGCAGTCATCAGGCAGACAAGAAACTTTAAATGGTGTTAATCGATCTTCAGGGACCTCAAAATGAAAGTAAATGGAGGTTTTACATTAACAAAAAGGCAGAAATCTCAAAGAGTTGCAATTTAATGATTTCCCCTGATCCCAAATTTTGTTTGTGGTGTACTGAAATTCAAATAAGACGAGAGTTACAGACTACACTACCAAAGCACAACTTGACTGTTATTATTATTGGTTTTTTTTTAATCATTGTTATATCTGTAACGTTTCTTCATTAATTTATGTTGTTTTAGATGTGCAATTGATTTGTCTTTTTTTTAAATAAATACCACCACTCCACAGTAAGGTTGGGCATATTTACCAAGGCTTACCCCATTAAGAACAGAACCTGGCAACACACGGCTGCTACTCACCCTCTGGATTGACTGATCGTCAGTATAGAGCACTTCTATGAAAGCTGAAGTTTTGGCAAACTGCTGGTCGGAAGCATTCAGGTGTGTGTTAACACAAAATCAAGAAGGAACGATATCAGTAATGATCTTAGAGAAGCAAATTTGCTGTCCAACCATCTGGGAAGGGTTAAAGGACATTTCCAAACAATTTTAATCTCTAAAAACAAAATGACAGTGTGGCTTTGGTTTCATGTGAACAAACTTCAAGACTTCTAAGTTGGTTAGACGGTGGAGACCAAAGTGGAGTTCTTTAACAATAATGCACAGCAACATATTTGCCACAAAGACTTCACACCAACTGTAAAGCATGGTAGTTAGAGAGGTGATGATTTGTGCTTGTTTTGCAGCCACAGGACCCAGGCTCTTTGCAGTCACTGAGTTGACATGAACTCATTGACTCTGGGGTCAAACGTAAGGCCCTTATGGGTCGGTCTGATGGCTAAAGTTTGGTTTAACTTAGGTTTAAACTGCAACGGGACAATGATCCCAAGCACAGCAGCAAATCTACAACAGAATGGCTTCGTTTCTATGAAATAATTTTGACACAGTGTAATATGTCATGTTGGTCTTCAGCTTAGGTTTTATAATTTTTAATACAACCTTAGAAAGAGGGTATACTTTCCTTTTCCTGTATATAATACAATAAGCAGGTTTTTTTTACTTGAGTATTTTTTTTACCACATTTCTTTAAAAGAAAAATGAATTCCTTTGAAAATAACTTTATCAAGCACTGTTAGCATTAATTAGAAACCTTTTTACTTTATTTTCAACCATTAAGTTTCATGAATTCAGCTCTTTGTCTTCACATTACGTTGTATATTTTATGTTGTACCTATACAGTTCTTGTCTGGCTTGTGAGCACCTATGAATTTCAAGTGACTGAACATACTCAGAAATAAACGCAAAATAACTAATTTATATAAAATAACACCATCTGTGACCAACTTTCATTAAAACTGGCTCCTGGAGTCTTTAAACACCTCTTATGACCATGTACTTGTGTCCCTGGAGACTTCCACACAACATCTGTGTTCTGACAGTCCACTCTTACATTTACTGATCCGTGTCGGTTTACACTTCAGTTTTTGAAAAAGTGAGGCGAGCAGGCTGAATGATTAGCAAGAACTAAAGTCTTTTCAGGTCATTGTTGAAGACTGGCTCACTTTCACACATATCGTAATATTTTTACACTTACATTGCATTTTACTTTGCTCTTTCCTTTTTTTTGTTGATTAACTAAACAGTTTATTGCTTTCAAAGCTGCTGGGTTTAATAATTATTCATTTATAGATGGAAAAGTGTGTGTGTGTGTGTGAGTGTGCCTTAGTATTTTAAAAAGCTAAAGAGTTGATATTAATTGATTTCATCGCACTTATTATTTAGAGATTACAAGTTTAATGTGCCATGGATTTAATTACAGTACTTGGCTGTGCGCTACATCACAAGCCCTTTTTTTCTGTAGTGCACGGAGCCATGGATCTTAGACCTTACAAAAGGGAGTATGTGTGTGTGCGACAGAGAGTGTAGCAGTGGGGGTGTGCATTAATGGTGCCATGGATACAGTTAATTATTTGTTTAGACTTGGGCAAACATAACCTTTTAAAGTATGCTGAATTAGCTTTTAGCAGTTTCTGTTTGTAGCTGTCTGCAAATGGCCGAGTCCGTCGCTGGTTGTTAATTTTTTGCTTCATGTTTGTCACTTTACTGTAAACGGTTAAGTGGTCAGGCTTATTCATTTAGGTCTCCAGCTTGCCAGTTTAGCCTGGTTTAAAATACAATAATCGCTCCATGGAATTGCAGAAAAGCAAAAGAATTCTAAAGCAATGAGCTCCCTCTTTCTATATCATAAGCTGCTAAATGATGTTAACATCTGCAAAATAAACAGGCTAGTGTTCATTATGCTGCATAATAAAAGAAACTGGGCTTAAAAACTCAAATTTGCCACCGATTTAGCACCGATATTCACAGGAACTTTCCAGAAACAGTTGACTAACTAGACTTGAAATGTACCCAATAACTTTGGATGCTAATGTAAGTGTGTGTTTGTTTGTGTGTGTGTTTGTCTTACCTGTATTGGAGTGTAAGTCCTCGTTGTCTGACTCATTACCGTTCTGGAGGCTCATCATCATCTTCATCTTCTGAAGCTTCTGGAGCTCGGCCATGGCTGCAGCTGTCAGGCCTGAAACACACAAACACACACACACACGGTTAGTTTCATCATGGCATAGCTCTTCAGGCTCACCGTCATGCCAGTCAATCAAAATTCAAATTAAAGCATTTGCTGCTCTCAAGTTCAACCATTTCTCATGAATAACCAATCACAACACTTGTTACAGCGTCCCTGGACCTCCCAAGTCCTACCTGCCTTTACCCATGATGACTTGCAGGAAGCTGGGACACACACACACACACACACAGATGCTTGCACTGGGCTGTCGCTGTCAAATTTTCTTTTCAGTGCCAGTGTTTTGCTGAAATGTTTCAGGTTGTGAGCGCAGTTTCAGGAGCCTTGGGCCTGATGTGTATTCGCTGATACACATGCAGAATGTGACACGCATACAGGGAGATACCCCCCCCCACACACACACACACACACACACACTGACCCCCCCCACACACACACACACACACACACACGCACACACACACCCTTTTGTATGAACTAAGATCCCTGGCTCTGTGCACTGACCTGGAACTGACTTCTATACACAACAACCAGCAGAGTGAGAGAGATGACCCTGTGTGTGCGTGCGTGTGTGTGTGTCTTATTGTGTAAAACCCCTATTATGTGTGTGAGTGTGCACGTGAGCTTTTGCATTGTGCTGAGTGTGTCTGTACAGTTTGCTTTCATGTATAAATGTGAATGTGAGGGAATGCATGCATGCTTATCACTGCTATCCGTGCGTGTGTGTGTGTGTGTGTGTGTGTGTGTGTGTGTGTGTGTGTGTGTGTGTGTGTGTGTGCGTGTGTGTGGAGGTCAGTTGGCTTTGCCCCGGTCACGGTTGATGGCTTTGGAGGAATGTCCATTACACACAGTACAGTTGTCTGTACGCTATAAAGAAAATAAGATAGAGGGATGGAGGAGGAAAAGGGGGAAGGGAAAAGGGGGTTGTTTGAAATTTAATTTAAAGCAGGATGGAGGGATAGATGAGGGAGGAGGGGGAGGTGTGGAGGAGAGGAAGTTGTGTGCAGGTTAAACTAGACCTGATCTTTAATCAGTAGTAATAGTAACTAAGCACATTTATGTACTCGTAACAGGTGGATTTGTTTTCCAAAGTTAAGCTCCCCAGCAGCACATGAAGCAGTTATAACTGTCTCTACCAGCTTAACATTGTGTGGATGTGTATATGTAATGCTTTAATATACAAATATTTATCTCCATAATTCAGAAGTGAAAAGAAATACTTATCAAAATATTTTAATTGAATGTCCTATAAGCCAGCAAATGTACAATAAAAAAGTACATTTCCCTCACAGGGTATTGGAGTGAACCCATGATTGTTATATTGATTAATAGATAGAAAGGGTGAGCACTGTGAGTCCTATCACCTTCAAGGTTATTGTGATGTTTAGATTCGTTAAATTTGCAGTTATTGCAGTTATTAATAAGCACAAAACTCATCAACTGGATTTTTTAGATATATCTCGTAACTTTTTTTCAGTTTTTAACTTAGTAAGTTCCTTTTTGTATTACATTCACTTTTTTTGCTCTATTATTTATTTAGATTCTTATTTAATGACCTCCGCTGGGACTCTTAAAAAGCACCGTATTTTCACGACCATAAGGCGCACTTAAAAGTTTTAGATTTTCTTCAAAAAGTGCGGCGCGCCCTATAGCGCGGTGCGCCCTGTGTGTTGTAAGGAGGACGTAGTAGAGAACACCATGAGAACGTTAAAGGGTGAAGTGTGGGCGTTGATCGTATATACCGGGACAATCGCACATACCTGTATAAAAGAACAGGTATGTGCATTATGCAGGACATCGTTGTTTTAACAACCCTGAAAATGGCAAAGAGACACGCTTACGAAGCACAGTTTAAACTGAAGGCCATCAGCTACGCGGAGGAACATGGAAATCGAGCAGCGGCGAGAGAATTTAAGATTAACGAATCGATGGTTCGCAAATGGAGGAAGCTGGAAAACAAGCTCTGACAGGTCAAGAAAACACAGCTGAGTTTCCGCGGACATAAGGCGAGGTGGCCCGAGTTGGAGGAAAGACTCGAGCGGTGGATCATCGAGCAAAGAACGAGCGGGAGAAGCGTTTCGACGGTCACCATTCGGCTAAAAGCAGTTTCACTAGCTGAAGAGATGAACATTGAACATTTCCAAGGAGGTCCGTCTTGGTGCTTTCGTTTTATGAAACGGTGCCATTTTTCCATCCGGACCAGGACTACGGTAGCGCAGCAACTTCCAGCGGATTATAAGGAAAAGCTGGCCATCTTCCGCTCCTACTGCAGCAAACACATCGGCGACAAAAACATCCAGCCCAGCCACATCACAAACATGGACGAGGTCCCGCTCACTTTTGACATCCCGGTGAGTCACACTGTGGAGAAGAAGGGGACCAGCACGCTAGCGATACGCACAACGGGGCACGAAAAGTCTTCTTTTACTGTTGTGCTTGGCTGCCATGCTAATGGACAGAAACTGCCGCCTATGGTGATTTTTAAGCGAAAGACTTTGCCTAAAGAGAAGTTTCCAGCAGAAATCATCATTAAGGCAAATGAAAAGGGCTGGATGGATGAGGAAATGATGAAAGACTGGCTGAGGGAGGTGTATGTAAGGAGACCAGGTGGTTTTTTCCACGCAGTTTCACTAAGAGTGGAAGGCAGCGCCGGGCGAGTTACGCCACAATTTGCCAATGGATTGTAGATGCTTGGGCTAACCTGTCTGCTGGCACTGTTGTTCGAGCTTTCGCAAAAGCCGGCATCGTTTCCGAGGAGCCGCACGGCACGGAAAGTGACTCTGACAGTGAAGACAGTGAACCTGGCATGTTTGATGGAGATTTAGCGCAGCTGTTCAATTCAGACACAGAGGATGAGGACTTCCATGGGTTTGATTGATGATAAAATGTGAGTACCAAACTTTGTTTTGCTCCTGCTTTATTTTTAAATATGCACACTTGTATGCTTGTGTGTTGTTGATGATGACGATTATTGGTAATAAAAATGTGAGTACCAAACTCAGTTTTGCTCCTGCTTTATTTTTAAATATGCACACTTGTATGCTTGTGTGTTGTTGATGATGACGATTACCGGCAATAGAAATGTGAGTAAGGTACCGAATTCAGGTTTGCTCCCGCTTTATTTTTAAATACGCATACGGTACTTGTATGCGCCCTATGGTCCAGTGCGCCTTATGTGTGTGTTAAATACAGTAAGGGCACACATAACTGAGACTGCGCCTTTTAGCACAGTGCGCCTTATGGTCGTGAAAATACGGCAGTTAGAAACTTGTGTATTTAAACAGGCTTTCTGGTTCTGTTATTTTAAAACGGCCTGTTTATTTTACTGTGTCTATCTCTTCATCTTTTTACTTAATTTTACTTTATTATCAAAAACATTAGGTGTAAAATGCTAACTGTATAAAACATTACCAAAACACTGAACACAATAAGCTGAAAAAGGCAGAAACTTTATGGAGCTATTTTGGTTTTGTGTTATTTTATTTTATTTCATTTCATTGAGCTATTCTGCTAATGCTTATGGTTTGGCTGCTTTAACCCAAGAGTTTATCCACTTTTAGATCAATACAGTGCATTTCATCTTATCCTGTGGATGAGGAGGCAGTTTTATACAATTTTCATACCAAAAGAAAAAATATAGGATCATTTAAGAAAATATATAATAATAATAATAATAATAATAATAATAATAATAATAATAATATACTATAATAGCAGAATGCAGTACAATATTGAAATACAGTTTTTTTTTACAGCCGCTAGGACACATTTCACAATACTTAGGTCACTTTTGCAAAACTCTTCACACAATTCTCCTAACTGACCTTCAGCTTGGCAAAGCAGTTCATTTCACATTCAAAATGCACTACAACTACCAAAACACTTTATTCAGGTCTCAAATAAACTCATTCTTCCAGAACACTAGCAAAGGTTGACAGCCGACAAACACACTTTGTCACCCACAAAACAATGACCTAAAAAACACTAACAACATGTAGCATTACACAGTGTTTTCTTGTGTAAAACAAGGACACATCTCTCTTTATAATTTCAATATATGTTACTGGAATGAATCAGACATCATGCAGAATTTGTTAATATTTGTTTATGTATTTTTAATTTTTTGCACTGAGTAATCCCAAAATACAAGAATTTGTATACACACCATCCACTGATACACATACAACAGTAATGCTAATCTACTCGGTCTCCTCCATTTGGCCACAGGTTCTCATCCACATCACATCTTATGTCATCTAGGGCAATACACCTAGGAAAGAATCTTCTGGCTGCCAGAATTGAAGGAGTTGAAAAATTGAAGGAGTAACACCTGTGTAGATGTTCATCTACAATGAGAATAAGCTGTGGCTGGTTAAACTGCATTTTTAGATTTAAAATATGTTTCAATAAAATATTGCTGTTGCATTTTGCTGTCTTTTTAAGTTTTGCATTGTGTTATTGTTTTGGCCATAAGTTTAACAGTTTTGAAAACAGTATGTAAGCACATGCAAAATGTCCTGTACGTACAAAGATTTTTGGCAGTTGTTGTGTCTGAGTGAGAAGATAATTCATGAAATTTGAGAGATGTAGTCATTGAATGCATTTTGTGCCAAAACAATGATAACTGATCCTCAGTTTAGCCCACATAGACTTCTGTTGTGCTCACTGTGTGAGGAGTTTTGCAAAAGTGACCTAAGTATTGAGAAATGTGTCCTAGCGTCTGTAAAAAACTGTAATATGGAAAATAACCATTAGCTTTAGATCAATTTTGACTCATAGGTTTTCACACTTTTTATAATTTATAATATAAAGTAACACTTGTGAAGGGAAATATTCTCTGACAGAAAATTAAATGGATTTTTAATTATCAAAAATTATGAAAATGTGACATTTCTCTTATGCAAATGTAGCAAATACGAGAAATGTAGCAAATAAAATAAATAAAAACATCCCTGAGTTTGGGGCGAAAGCTGTACAGACTGGACATCATACCT